TCCGAAGAAGATATATAATTGTCCAGTAAGCACATGAAAAGATGTTTACCGTCATTAGTCATTAAAGAAATACAAATCAAAACCACCACAAGATATCACTTCACACCTAATAGGATGGCTATAATTAAACACACACACATACACACACAGAGAAAATAACAAGTTTGGGCTTCCCTGGTGGCTCAGTGGTTGAGAGTTCGCCTGCCAATGCAGGGGACACGGGTTCGTGCCCCAGTCTGGGAAGATCCCACATGCTGCGGAGCAGCTGGGCCCGTGAGCCATGGCCACTGAGCCTGCGCGTCCGGAGCCTGTGCTCCACAACGGGAGAGGCCACAACAGTGAGAGGCCCGCGTACCGCAAAACAAACAAACTAAAAAACAAGTTTAACCGGGATGTGAAGAAATTGGAACACCTGTACATTGCTGATGGGAATGTAATATGGCGCAGCTGCTGTGAAAAACATTTTGGTGTTTCCTCAAAGACTTAGCACAGAAATGCCCTATGACTAGGCAATTCCACTCCAAAAGAATTGAAAGCAGGTACTCAAACAGATACCTGTACACCAACATTCACTGTAGCATTATTTACAGTAGCTGAAAAAGTGGAAATAACCCAAGTGTCCATGGACAGATGAGTGAATAAATAAAATGTGGTATATCCATATATTTGAAAATTATTCATTCATAAAAAGGAATGAAGGTCTGATACCTGCTACAATATGGATGACTCTTGAAAACATTATATGCTAAGTGAAATAAGCCAGACACAAAAGGATAAATATTACATGATTCTATTTACATGAAATACCTAAAACGGACAAATTCATAAGGGCAGAAAGTAGATTAGAGGTAACCAGGGAAGGGAGGAGTGGGAGTCTTTGCTTAATAGCTACAGAGTTTCTGTTTGGGGTGATGAAAAAGTTTGGGAAATTGATAGCTGTGATGGTTGCACAACATGCTTAATATAATTAATGCCCCTGAATTGTACACTTAAAAATGGTTGAGATTGGGCTTCCCTGGTGGCGCAGTGGTTGAGAGTCTGCCTGCCGGTGCAGGGGACATGGGTTCGTGCCCCAGTCCGGGAAGATCCCACATGTCGTGGAGCTGCTGGGTCCATGAGCCATGGCCGCTGAGCCTGCGTGTCCGGAGCCTGTGCTCCGCAACGGGAGAGGCCACAACAGTGAGAGGCCCGTGTACCGCAAAAAAAAAAAAAAAAAAGTATATATTTTTTTACCACAATAATTTTTTACCACAATAATTTTTTTAAATAATGTATTCACACTAAATATTCCAGCTTACAGCAGAAAATCACATTATTCCTTATTTAAGGAATAAGTTTTAGTAAGACTTTAAACTTTACTACTAATACATTTTGACTATTCATTTTTAACTAAGTAAAGAGAAACAGGACAAAAATAAACATTCACTGGGTCAGAGATTTAGTCAGAATCAGGGAGTTGATAGATTTATGAGTCAAGTCAGAGGTGAAATTTTTCAGTTTTTTATACTTTAAAAGGTCATTCTTCACTGAATGCGAATATCATATATTAAACACAAATACAGGAGCTAGGGTCCAGAGGTTTTCTTGGTTCTTACAGTTGTAACTCCTTTGCACAATAGCAATGTAGTTACTTGCAAGATGGATACTGAGGGATAGAACGTTCTCAGCAACATTCGTAAGGCATTTCCAACCCCTCTTTTCCTCTTTGACCATCTGAGGATAGTGTTGACAGTGGCCACAGACAGATCTTTGTTACCTGCTTACATCTCCCTCTCCCCTCTCCTGAACTTCTTCTTTCTCATTAAAAATAATGAGTCTGGTTTGGGAATCTAGATGCCTTTAGGGAATGAATGCTTTTTCCACATGACTATGTTTTCCCCACTGAAAATAGGGAAATATTTTTTCTCTGGACACTCCACAGGAATGGTTAAGTACCCTGCTGAAAGGAAAATCAGATCTCTGGGGTATAAGATATTACCAACATTAGAAACACTCATAAAAATTCTGTGTTTCCAGAATTTTTCCCTTTAGTCTAAATTATTATGGTCTGAGATATTTTTCAATGGAAGGCGGAAAATAGCTTTTCTATCAAATTAAACATCCAAATTTCTCTGATATATTAATTATCAACAGCAAGCACTTGTATAAATCATTGCATGTCTCCCCCAGATTTCCTTTTTAGGTGTTTAAGGGTATCTGTTATTATCATAATTTTTCAAATAAAGAACCTGAGACAAGAGAGTCTATCTGCTTTGCCCAAAGCAGAGTGGACTCAGCACAGAACTCCTACACCCTCCCGACACTCCTAAGAGTACATTCTTCTTTATAATTAGAACAAATCTCAGGGCCCTGTGCATAGGAAAAGGACTGGAATGAACATTAAATATGAAATATTATTGGCTTATTGAACTACTAATGTTCCTATCATTCAAAAAGCTCATATTAAAAATGACTTGGTACAACAATTTTCTGCTACAGGTTAAGACTGTACCTACCCTAACAGCATAATAACTAGTACATTGATTAAATTAGTGCTCTATCTATTTGCAATATGGAAATCACATTTTTCTTACTTAAAAAAGTATTTTGTCAGCAAATCTGAAACAGACTTCAGACTCCTTGATTGTTTTTAACCAAAACGATGTTACTACTTAAAATTTCTTGGGGGTAAGTGGCTGGTTTGTTGGGTAAGGTGGGGTGGGAGAGAGTATGGGAGATAGACATTAAGAGGTCATGGTTAGAGGCCTGCGTGAAGCCAAAAGGCCTTTTTACTTGAGACCTCATGTTCTTAGATCCACGTACAGAGAGGCAGAATGGTCCCACTATTCCATTGCTTGTTATGGTAAGATCCGCAATAGATATGAACCTTTGATTCATCCTCTCCCAATCATTTTTACAGATAAAAGCGTGAAGTCCAGAAGGCTAGTCCATAGCCAGAAGACTGGCATTAAAGGACAAGACTTTAAAATTGAGAATCACAAGCACCTTCTAAAGATGGATCCTGTTGATGGAAAACACTTTTCCAGCTGAGCTCCTGAATGGACGTAGGTATGCAAATTTGAGCATAGTCGTTAAGGAGAGATGAACTGCTCTGCTTACAAAAGAATTCTCCCTGGAGTTGTGGGCCTGGACAGGAATAGGATTGGGGCGGGGGAAAGAGGTAGCCTGAGAGACCCAGACTACTGTGAGCTTCCCCACCACTCACAGTTCATCAGTGTACCTGAAAGTGCTGGCTGGGCATGAATTGCTAGCGGAACCTGGGGAAGGGATGTAGCTTCAAATCCAGGTTAACTTTAGAAACAGTCGGCAGGTACACATGAAGGGGCTGGGGACACAGGAGACCTTGAGAAAGTAAACCTCTGTGGATGGGCAAGAATTGCAAGGAAGTGTTGGGTTTCCACAATTCATAATATTAAGCTTTTTGTGTAGCAGCAAAACCTTGAATTGTTGGCCAAACGACACTAGTTAGCAGCACAATTAGTGCTATAACATAGGTCTTTTGATTCCTGGTTCAATGACTGTTCACATCATCGTGTGTTTTTTAAGATATACCAAGGACTTCCTGGTCGCCAGGGATTTCTTCCTTGAAAGACAGCCCAGAGCCCAGCGCAAGGAGCTGTCTACACAGGAGAATAAATTCTGGATTCTAATAGCCCCCTGCTTCAGTACTAATTCTTTCTTCAACTTCTCAGTCTGATTTACCCTTTTACTTTTACTACTGCTGTTGGTATATGTCAGAAGCAGAACAGATCTGCCTCTAAATCTAGGAAGCAAGTGGAAATTCCAGCCTAGATGTTCAAAGAAGCCAGTAATATTAAAGTACTGAAGACACAGAACATCTAGTCATTGCAGCCTTCTGAATCAAACCTCTTTGATCTTAGTGATGACATTCATTTGCTTAAGAGGGTTATTACTCACAGAGCTGGCTGCTGCACAGGGCTCCGTTCTCAGACGGAGAAACCACTTGTAGTTTAACGTCTTACCTGTCACTGTCTTGAAATTCTTAACCATTTTATCTTTGACTGTGTGTTTTATAAGTGAAGTCCAATGGGACAACAGAGGAAGTGCTGGGGGATGGGAGCTTCATCTTGCGTGTGGTCCTGCCCTCCGGGGAGAGAATCTCTTTGCTATCCTGTCTGCTTTCCTGCCCCTGCTCAGTGATCTCCGTCATCTGCCCTGGCAGGGGTCAGGGCACAGCTCAGGAAGGGTTGGGGTTAGGCCCACACCCTCTGCACTGAGCTGGGACTGAGGCCCAGTGCCTGTGAGGGGTGCACTCACCCCACATATATCCCCATGGCTGAAGGAGCCAGACATTACATAGCAGATTAAAAAAACACCATGACAGGCCAAGAAAAAGCTTTTTCCTGCTTTTTGAACAGGGAGTCCCACATTCTCACTTTGCACAGGGCCCCACAAACGACATTCTTGTCTCTGATTAGATACCTTATCTGGCAATCTCAAACCAACACTGTTTCTAGATTCTTAACTAAATAATCACAACATATAGGTAATAATAACTCTATTTATTAAAACCATTCTTTGGTTTCAAGAACTCTTAATATTAAATATAAAATCAGATATTTTCAATAGTTCGAGAGGGAAAAAGCCTCTATATTATTTTTGCCAGCAGGTCTCATTAACAATAGGAAGTTTGGATCTGTTGTTGTGGCTTGACAGTATGTTGCATGAAATGGAAAAATGAAGGAATTTTTTTTTTTTCCACCGAGGCAGCCAGGAAAAAGAAGGTACTTATTTCTCCACAGTGAAAATATTATCACTCCATATTTTCTATCACATTAGGGAAAGTTGAAAACAATCTTGTTCATTCTCTCCAATGTTGGTGTTTGCTCATAAATAACTATAGTGTTTTTCCATTACCTATCTGGCACTATGTTAACCTGGACATAGGCCAGTGGCATCAGGGGAATCAAGAGGAAGTGTAAGAAACAGCTTTTTATTTCTTTTTAATTTTGTATCTGCTTCATATCTTAATATCTTACCTTAAGCTTGGCCAAAAGAAGTTCATGATCATGAAGAAGTTTTTTGGTTTCATCTTGATTGCTTCCAATTTCCAGAAGATTGGGCTGTGATTCAGCCAATTGAAGTTGTACCCACTTGCCACACTAAAAATAAAAATGAAATAAAATGTACTTTTAGTTCCTCTTGTTCCTTTCCTTTCACCCTTCTCCTTTTTTTTCTTTTCTTTTTTTTAAGTTTCCAGTTACACTGTGAATACTTTATTCTTTCCACAGAGATAGATAGGCCTTACATAAATTGAAATAGAACAGGTCTAACATAAATCCATGCCCTGTCTTTCCTTCTTTTTTTTTATGCTTAGGATAAATTCCTTTCTCTTAGCATACTGGATATAAATTCAAAATTCCCAAATGAGGAATATATACAGTAGATTATGTATTATTGAAGAGTACAAAATTATAGAATAATTCACACACTTTTACATTCTCTCACTCACAAAACTGAACTCTATAAAAATAGTGATCTGAGCAAGTAGGGTGCAAACTTCACCAAAGGGAAAAGGTTTCATAAATGTAATGTAGGCTGATTAGTGTCTTTACACTGACCTTGCTGATCCAACCAGAAAGAATAAACAGCAGATGAAGCAACTGATTTTTCGCTTATTCCAAAGTTAAAACAATATTTTCCAAATTTTGTTGCTGAATATTCAATAAAGTATGTATAAAAGTGTCAGTGAAATTAGATGTGTGACAACTGCTATTTGAATGCAGCCAGCTTGTTTTCCACACTTAGGACCCTTTCATTGCTCCAAGATATAATTCATCATTGCATTTCCTAAAGGCTTTTCTAAGAAGAAACCACCAATGAAGCAAGAGGAACCGCTATGAGGCATGTGCACGTGGCTAAGTGAATTGCTGAAGAGAAATGAGAAACCACATGTCTATTCTAGATCATTAGTGCCCTAAGACTGTTTAGAAATGAGAAGTCCATATAGAGTAGACACAGGGACTTCTACTCCCTTCAGATGGACTTCCCACTTTGAAAAGCTTGGGGTTTATTCCATATGGGATGGCAGTGAACTAAGGGAGCTGGGGAGGGAGGACGGAGGGAACATTCTTAGAAACACAGTTCAGTTAAAATAAGAGTTTCCAGTACAATTTTAGAGGTTTTATTTTCTTACTGTCAATTTACCTCTGATTCATCATTTACTCTGTATGCATTCTTCCTCATCCTACTCTAAGAAATGTTTCATATTTAAGGGAAAGAAAATTTAACTTTTTTAAAAAACAGTAATTTTTCCTCTTTTCCCTCTCTGCTGAAATTTGCAGTTACTCAAAGCATCATAGAATCAAACACAAATTATCAATTTTGCTACTTTTGCTTCAGGCTTCTTTCCATGTCCACTCATTGCCCTTGAAAAGAATAGAGGTCAAGGGACACAGCAGAGGTTCTGTTTATGTAGACCAAGTCTTAAGAGCCCTGGGGAATCGGCCTGGGTAGGCACACTTTGCATTCAGTGCTTCTAGAGTGAATCATTTTGCTCAATGCCAAGTGCTGCTTTCCTGTTAATAATTTTCACATTAACATAAAGTTCGCAGCAATTAAGTGAAAGTAAACAGGCCTGTCGTCTATGCTTCTTACAAAAGGCCAGAAAAGTCATTCAATTAAGCTTGGTGGGGCTCTGAAAGTAACAGGCTGTGGTGAGCACCAGCTTGTTTGCTAAATTCCCTTCATTAAACACTGAATTCCTGAGGTGGTGAGTTGTCTAAATCCAAGCATAAGGCTTCAGGGATTTTCACAGGACATATTCATAGGAAATAAAATCATGGATGCCTTCTTCAACCTAAAGATGTGCGGTCACCTTTGCAAATGAGCAAACTGTTTGACATAAAACATGCAAAAGCCTTTAAGGGAATTGCTTTTATAAATTATTTTCCTTGTAGATTTTATTTTTAATTTATCTCTGTGACCTGCCAGGGAGAGGAGAGAGAGATGCTGTGAGCACATGACAAAATAAAATAAATAAAATGGAAAAAAAAAAAAAAAACCTTTAAGCCCCAAGTGGCTTCAACTTCCTGCTGTTAAGGGCAAATTTGACACATGTCCTCAGCACTTTCCCCGGTAGGGTCTTTATTCCCCCAACCATGTGACAAGGATTTACTAGTGTCTTTACCGTGTCAGAACCAAAGCTGCAGAGGGCACGTGTCACAGTCTCTAATTAGGTGTTCCCTGCACTCATCATGCCAAAACAATGCCACCCCTTATCTGCTGGGACCCTCCTCTTTCCTCCTTCATCACATCCACTCTCAAAAATCACAGACATTTCCCAGGTCCACTGGACTCCAGCCTGGCAATCACGAACTTTTAATCACAAATGCTTTGTCTTTAAAAACCAAACTGAAAGTATATGGTAAAGTTTGTTGTTGCTTTTTAGAAAAATCAAGCTGCTTATAGATGTTTTCTGGCTAACCGAAAGAGAAACTAGCAACTGGCTGAAACTTAGAGGTTTTTCTCTTAGTTGCAATTTAAGAAAGCAATAAGATGTACCTGCTGGGTTATTTTCTATATGCCGTGTACTGCCGATTGTGTGGAATGTTCTTTAGGATTATCAGCACACAGCAAGAAGCCCACAGCTACACAGAAAAAAGGAAGTTGTCAGCTTACCTTTATGATGGCTATAACGATTTTGGAGTCCCCAGCCTGCACAGCTACTGAACTGACTGTTGTCGTAGAAAACTCCTCACCAGGGCTTCCTTGGCTGGACATGGTACATTAGAACCAGAGTTTACGCTTTGGGTAGCCTCCGTACAGTTGTGTGTCTGCTGGTCATTTCAGAAGGCAACCACCGGGGTTACTTGGATTCATTCAGGGCAAGAGCTCCCCTCGCACTGATTACTCTGCCAAAAGGAAAGAACAGGAGGTTAAAAATAGACAACCCCATTGAGTTTATCATGAGAGAGAGAGGAAAGAACGGGAGAGAATAGCCACACCCCTAGTATGGTAACACTGAACGCCTGTTATTTTGGCCATTATCTTAAATGCAGAGGGCAGCTTCTAGCTCTCTGACTATCAGCTGATGTTTGATAGCAAATGGAAAAAGAATTACATCCTCACAACCCAAATTACTTTAGCCACTGAATCTATACAGTTTTGGTGGGCTTTGAAACCAGCCAGTCATTAACCTGGGTATCAATCTTTTCAAAATTTTTGAAGTCTCCTCCATGCAAAGAAAACTCCCAAAAATGTACTTTAAAAATAAGTTCTGGTATTTGTTTTGGGATTAAGCCACAAAATTGTTTGAAATATCTTTTTGGATTAATCTGTTTTCCTAAAACTTACTGCCTTTTGTCAAATGAAATTTATATGAAATGGTCACATTTTCTCAGTCTCAGATTTCTTAGGGACATTTTAAAAAATATTTCAATGAGCAGTTATCAATAGATATCTACCAAGTCAGAATTTCTTTAAGACCATCTACTCCACTGAACAGTATTTTCAAGTCCAGTTGCCACAACTACTAGGAAGTAATATACTTTGCTGTTACTTTTAATTGCAGCAGGAAAATGTTTTGGGTTTTTTGGATTAAAGGTTAAGACTGTATATTTCGCTACACTTTTTTAAAAAAGGATAACATTGTACTTCAGATTCGGTTTTTACTTTTCCCCCATGCCTTGTGCAGGAAAATTATAGACAGCTTAAATCAGAGCCCAGGATCGGCAGATTAATCCTATTGCTAGAAACTCAGTGTGTGTTACAAGTTGTCGGTGGTATTAAACAGCAGCTGTTGGATTCCCTGTCAAGAAACAGCTGAAAATAACCCTGAAGCTTAGGTCAGAGGTCAGATGCAAACACATCAGAGATACTGACTCCAGAGCTGCTGGAGCCATCAGAAATCTCTGGAACAAAGCCAGAACAGAGGATATAGCAATAAACAGAGTTAAATGGGTCCACTCGCTGTTTAAACCCTTAGCTCAATTTAAAAGCACGATCAGGTTCAGGGCCAATATTCAGAAGGCTGAGTCAGCACCACTGTTTTGTTCTGCTAAGGTTCATGATAATATTCTTGAATCAAAGGGGAAATAGTGCTTTTACATATACTTTGGTTTCAGCAACTATTTTTTTTCCCAGAGCATATCCTGGCTGCTCTGCAGTTATGCAGCCATGACCTAGTTGCCTGCTGTTCCAGCGAAAGGAAACCACCCTGGATCCCAGTTCCTGGGCTCTGGGAACTTTACTTGAGGCCAGAAAGGGAACAAGCTCGGGAGAGCAGATGGCAAGAGACACCATGATGTAGGAAATATTGTAAATGGTTTCATTTTATGGCAGGGATGGAGAGCTTGCAGAGAACCAACCCAGACTCTCTGTAGGGGCTGCCTCAGTGTTGAAGGTGGGCTCCTTCTGCTTTAGCAATAGTTGGTCCAAACAAACCAAAACAAATTGAGTGAAACCAGTTTTCAGCTAATTGGCCTGAAGGAAAACCAAGAGTTGACAACTGTGTCACATAATCTCCACACCCTAAACTAAAATGCCCAGAGGAGCCTTGCTTAAGCCTTTGTGTACACGGCAAACCAGAACAGCAAACAGTGACCCGCACCCAAAATACACAGTGCACTTTTGCCCAAAGTTAACCCTACTGTTAGAAACTCAGTGTGTGTCAAAAGTTGCCTAAAGGCCCTCAGGAGGCGAAGGGAACTTTTGGCAGCAGGCTGCACAGACCACGGCTAGAAATGAGTGGTTATGTCCACAGAGCCCCACTTCAGGTGGATGATTATGTAAAGGGTGTGGAGGGCAGTGTGGACTGTGTGGAATCACAGGCCCACAGGAAGGGAAAGGAAGGAGAGAGGTGGGGAGGAGAGAGAACACCACTGAAAGTCTGATTAATTCCAAGGCTTAAGGGCAAAGGGAATTAGAAATATTTAAGTCTTTGTTAAAAGATTAATCCAACAATTCAGCAGCAAAGGTAGTATCTATCTGTGTACAGATGACCTTTCTTTCCAAGCAGTCCCAGAGTGTTGCACAGAAAATGTTTTCTGCATTGGTGGACATGAGCAATAATGTAAACTGCATATACGAATTTAAGTGGTTTCTAACTAATTTTCTTTTAATTCAAATTCTTGGCTTTAAAATCTTGAAAAGACTTGAATCACTTTTCTCTCCCCTTCCCTTGCTTTCTATTTCTTTCCTCTTCAACTCTTTAGTCCTTCTCCCTTCAGAAACTCTGTTTTTCAGACCTCTCCATCCACATCTAGCTCATTTAGAACCTTGGTCTATATGTCCCTTTATCTAGCATAATATTTAATTGTAAGTTGCATTATTTGGAGAAATAGTTTGGAGAATAGTAAATATATTGTACTAAAGAAATTGCTACACTATAATTATACTTTTTAAAGCTTTTTGAGCTTGTTTATACTCCACCTCCCCTATCATCACCAAAAAAAAAAAAAAAAAAAAAAAAGACAAAACAAAACAAAAACCCTTAAAGGCATTCTCATATTCTTTGCAGTTTATAGAGGATCTTGCAGAGGTTATTATGTCTTCTCTGTTTATCCCTCTGGGAAATGTCTGTTTTTATACCAGCTGAATTTTAGTGAAAAATCCTCTGTGGGGAATCAAAAAGCTATAATTGGATTCTGTAGAATTGCAAATAGCACTTCTTTCCCCCAATTTTTCTTTATTGTGGGAAAATACACATAACAAAATTTACCATCTTAACTATTTTTAAGTGTACAGTTTCAGTGATATTAAATATATTCACAATGGTGTACAACCATCACCACCATCTATCTCCATAACTCTTTTAATCTTATAAAACTGAAACTCTACACGCACTAGACAATAATTCCATTCCCTACTCCCCCAAACCTCTGGCAACCACCATTCTACTTTTGTCTCTATGATTTTGACTACTCTAAGTATCTCACATAAGTGGAATCATATAGTATTTGTCCTTTTGTGACTGACTAATCTTATTTAGCATAATGTCCTCAAGGTTCATCCATGTGGTAGTGTATGTCAGAATTTCCTTTCTTTTTAGGGCTGAATAATATTCCCTTGTGTATATATTCCACATTTTGCTCATACTTTCAGCCACTGATGGACACTTGAGTGGCTTCCATGTGTTAGCTATTGTGAATAATAGCTAACCTTTGCTCTCTACCTTAATTCAGTTATTCTATCCAGAAATATCATTGTCTTCTTCCTTTCATCTATCCAATTCCTCCCATCGCTTAAGACCAAGATAAAGAATCAACTCCTTTTAAAAGTTGAAATACCTACTTATATTCCCCTTTCCTCAAAATTTAATTGTAATTCACAATTTAATAATTGCCTTGAATTATAAACTTGTATTGTTTTCTATTTATTTCACTTCCATTGGTATTATTTCTTAACTAGATTTAAGGCTCCTTACATAAAGGAGTTATGTCTTAATGTCTTTTTTTTTTAAATCTTTGCAGACCACCTCAAGGAGTTATCGTAGAGAATAAAAGAGTTGCTTTACGTAAAGCACTTAGAAGAGGACCTGACATTTAGCAAATACTATATACACACACACACATATATAAATATGTGTGTGTGTGTGTGTGTATTAGTATCTATATGGAGCACAGTACTAGGCACAGAATTAGTGCTTATAAATACTGGCTGACTGATTGAATCACATTAGTCATATAGAAAAAAGTTTTGATACAATTCACTCATTCAGTGTTTACTCATGCAACCAATAGTTATGAGCATTTGCTACATACCAGGCACTTACACAGTAGGAATATAGCAGTAAGCGAAACAGGTCTCTACTCTCGAAAGGGTGACATTCCTGTGAAAAAAGACCATAAACAATGAAAAACATAACCAAGACAGAAATCCACAGTGATAAAAGCTAAGGGAAAACAACTGGTAGTGGTTAAGTAGGCTGAATCACAAAAGGTTACATTTAGAATTTGACAGAGAAATCAGGGGATACTTTCAGGGTATTTCTATTGGAATACAGAGATTAACAGGAATAATAAACTGATAGTGATTCCAAAACAACAAGAAAAAGTAAACCATACAAAATGGCAAAGGCAATGGGTTAAGGGCTCTGAAGTCAGACTGCCTTTACCTCTCTGTGCCTCAGTTTCCTCAATGCAAATTGGAGATAATGGGAATCTCTATGTCATATAGGTTTGTTGAGAGGATTAAATAAAATAACATTTGTAAAACACTTTAATGCCTGGCACATAGGTGGTGTTCGGATAGTTATACATGATCATTTCTAAGACAACATCTGTTAAGGGATTTCCTAAATCTAGTAACTGTCACAAAATTTGAAATAACTTTTTAAAATTAAGTTGAATTACAACACTTGGTAGGCAACCCAAATGGATGAAATATATTAGAGAGACATAAAATATGCATTACCAGGGAGGAAATATTTCAGTATAATCAAACGGTAAAAAATCTCAACGAGTCAGCATTTCTCTAGAATACCGTCTTTAACCATTCACTTGAGACAAAATTTTCCCTAACTCATCCTTTGTATTATGTAATACTCTTCCTGGCACCTCTCATTTATTTCTTGGTTTACAAGCACTGTCACTTAACATCCATAAGTAAAGTGAAGCTGCTCTTTCCTCTTAAAACAGCCTCCATTCTGGCCATCAACTTATTCTTCTATGTAGGTATTCATTTGTTCATTCACTGAATATGATTAAATATCTAGTAGGTGTAAGGCACTGTTCTAGGCACAAAGCAATAAGCAAAACAAAGTTCATCCACTGATGGAGCTTGCCTTCTGGTGGGGGAGGCACAACCAACTAGAAAACAAACAAACAAGAATACATATATAATGATGTAAAGATGTAATCAGTGTTATGAAGAAAAATAAGGCAGAGTAAGAAGGTGAGAGTGAACA